TCTGGTGGCATAGTGCCTAAGGCATTTGACTGCTAACCAGAAGGCTGGCAGTCCAAACTCACCAGCCACTCCTCGGAAGGAAGACTGGACAATCTACTTCCATAAAGATTTACTACCTCAGAAATTGACTCTGGCTCCTGGCGACTTTAAAGCCAGGTACACCCTAAATCATCACAGCTACAGCCATTTGACTTGTACCAGAGCTCCAGAAGGGTGTCTCACCCAGCAGACCATAAGCAACTCCAGGGCATGCACTAGGTTTTCTCGGTTCATTCATTCACTTGCTCATTCATTTGTCCAACAAAGCCTCACTGAACACCTCCTGCACGCAGGCCCTGTCCAGACCACAGGGTTCCAGCGGGAACAGTCCCCTGCCCTCCTGGGGGTCACAGTCAGACTCCCCACCAGCCCTGTCCTCAGTCCTCTAACTGGCCAACCTGAACCGGGAACCTGTTCCTGCAGACATGAATAATCACGCGGGCCTTGGCGCAAACCCTGGCATCAAGGTGAAAGGTTGTGTGTGAGGGTCCAGCTTGGCCACACTGGACAGCGGTCGCAGCACACCCAATGGGAATCCAGGCCCGGCCACCATCAGCTGCCGGACTCTCCCCAGTGCCAGGGTAAGAACTCTGCTGTAAGCGTATGAGGTCAAGTTAAGGCCCCTGAGGTACTTACCCCAGGCCTGGCACCTGGCAGGCACTCGACACGTTAGCTGCCATCCTATCAACTGTCTACAACTGTTCGAGTAAGTAACCATGACCTCGTCACCACCCTTCACAACTGAACTGATAAACGTCACGACAGACGCAGAAGGGAGTGAAGGGGTCACTGAACGGACGCATCCGACCGAGGAGGTGAAGAATGAAGTCACTCCAACCAGAGAGCTCCCTGGAAGCAAGGATGGTGACCCCAGCTCACTCACTCTGGACACGTGGTCAGGAAAGACCATGCATCAGGAAAGAACATCATGTCTGGTGACATGGAGGGTCAGTGGAAATGAGGAACACTGTCTGTGAGAGTTCAGGCTGTGTGTTGGCTGGGCCTGATTCTGAGTGGCTGGGCAGTTGGGTGTCATTATTCCCTATGAGGAGACTGTAACCAAGTCCACGGTGGAGTCCACTGTGAGTAACTGCCTTAGGGATGCGGTCTGCTCCCAATACACAGGGAGAAGCTCTGGGAACGGTCTCAGCTCTTGGCGCCCCTGAATCCTGCATGTAGCTGAGCCATTGTTCTTCAACACCTGCCATGTTTTCTGCCGATCTTGGGACTGTCAATGGACTTGAATCAGTGCCCTGCTGTGTTGCGTGGTAATCTTGGGACTGCGCCATCTTACTTGTCAACCTTGCTTTGGTCAGCCTCAGCAGCCAGCAGCTGCCTGAGTGACGTGACGCCTCCAGCTCCAGTGGGCCGGGAGCAAGAGGCAGAGCTGAAGCCCAAGTTTCCACCCAGCCCCTAGAGCTGGCGCTCTGAACTCAGACGTCCAGCCTCCGAAACTGCAAGAGAATCAACTCCTGTTTGTTGAAGCCATCCGTTCGTGGTGTTTCTCTTAGAGCAGCACCAGAGGGCCTAGGCCCCATCCACGAGATGGAGGGACACAAGGGACCCATGTGACAGAGGACGCAGTGGCTCCAACAAGGGACTCAAACACACCCACAACCAGGAAGACGGCCCAGGACCAGGCAACATTTCGTTCCGTTGCACAGAGGTCACCACTGAGTCAGAGCCAACTTTACGAAAAGGAACAAGAAGAAGTCAATAGCCACGCCCCCCCGCCATTCCACATGTCCTTAACCAGATACTATTACTGTTTCCTGTCCCGGCTCTCACTTCCCCCTCCCTGTCCCCAGAGCGAGGCACCCCTGGCTAGACACACACGTCCCCAGGTTTGGCCCAACAAGGCTGCGTAGGGACCACAGGTCTGTCACTTCCTGTCCTCCCAGCCAACGAGCCTAGTCGGTGGCCTCCCCAGACTCACCAATGACCTTGGCCACATTTACGGCCTTGAGGCCCATCAGGTCAGGCAGCTGGTCGATGATGACGTCACGGCTCGCCTTGACCTTGTGCACGCGCTCAATGCTCCGCCTCTGCCAGTCGGTCCAGTAGATGAAATCTCCCAGCAAGGTGAACCCGAAGATGTGTGGGAGCTTGTCCTCCAGCAGCGTCTGCCTCCTTGTCCCGTCGACGTTGATCACCTGCGAACGGCAGACACACAGACCTGGACGTCACACAGACCACCGCTCCAGAGAGCCCCCTTCAGACAACCCTCTCCTGAGCGGCCGGAGACAGGACGGGTCACCCCCAGGCACTGCCTCAGTTCTGTCTGCATCTCACTAGGCTGCTGTGGAACACCTGGTGCCATGGCTGGAGAAATGAAACTTTCATTACGACACCTGTCACCTGGGCTGACAGAGGAGTGGCAGGGACCATTCTCCACAGCCTCCCCAGCCTGGGTGTGGACAGTGTGCCGAAATGGGCAGCTTGACTCCGAACAGGCAGACAAGTGTCCTCTCCCCTAGCACTGCCAATCAACTAGTGCTGCCTGAAGTATGAGTCTTGGCCCAGGCCTGGGCTCTGGAGGAAGGAGTTCTGGGATTGATTAGCAATGCCTGCACTGGGTACAGACTAGGAAGTTCGAAGCTGGTATTCACAACACAGAGGAAAGGTTGGTGCTAAGTCATTGTCAGACCCAGGGCAATATTATCCAAATCTCCGCAGATTCTTTTTTATGCGCAGTAAGGAGCAAATAGAGAAGCCCTGGCGGCCCACTGGTGAAGCACTTGCTTGCTAACTGAAAAGGAGGCAGTTCAAACCCATCAGTGGCTCTGTAGGAGAAAAGACCTGGTGGTGCTCTGCTCCTGAAGACATTACAGCCTAGGAAACCCTATGGGGCAGTCCCACTGCGTCCTACAGACTCGCTATGAGTCGGGAGCAACTCAACGGCACCCAACAGTGAGGCCCAAAGGAACTCTAGGGGCACTTATTTCTTTCTTCATTTTTCATATTCTCCGGGATTACTCTCCCAGTAACTTCACTTTTCACTGGAACTCAAAATGGCCATCTTTTCTTTTTAATGAATAACTTAGCTTAGTAATCACTAACATGACAGCGATGCCTGGCCTCGATTTACAATGCTTCCTGTTCTGCTTTCCGTTTTGACAGCTGTGAGAACCATCGCTCCTCCAGGACTCTGTGCGC